GCGGGCGGGCGCGGTGGGGCGGCCGGGGGTAGCGGGAGCTGCGTGAAGGGGCTGCGGGGCCGAGCGCGGGGCGGAAAGATGGCGAGCCCTTAGAGCGCCCCCTCGAGGCGCCCTCACAGCGCGCCCCTTCTGCGCCTGCGCGGGTGGGCAGGTAAGGTGCCCTAGGAGTTCAAAGCATCTAGTCCTGCGGCTGCCTTCCAGCCTGGCCCCCCTCCAGCGGCCCCAGTCCGGCTGCCCTGGGCAGGGGTTGATGGGAGCCGGAGTCTAGCATACCCGAAGGCTGGAAAGCTCAGCCAAGGACTGATTTCGTCCAGCCCTTCTGCGTTCAGAAAAGAAAGGGTGGAAAGGACCCTGTCTTGTGTATTAAGGGCCCCATTCTCATGACCTCAGTGCGGTAGCTTTACATGGTGCATAGCAAGCCCGGTTTGTTTTAACCATGACTGAGTGGCTCTAACCTCTCATGGCCTGGTATTAAACCATGGCTTGCAATTTTATCCATCCGATTTCATTCAATTCAAACGTCCAGGTCTAATTTCACACATCTGGTTAAACCCCAACTTAATTACATTATGGTCTACCCCCTCTGAAAACCTAGCGAGTGGAGTTTGCAGGGGAATAAGCATTTAGCAGTACATTTACTTTTGAGCCAATATGCCTTCAGTTACGCCTAAGCACCCTTGAATCCAGTGGGGGCCCCTTTCGGTACGCGTGCTTTGGGAGGGTTGCGCGGCTGCACCATCCTAAGAATTTTGGCTTTGGAGTAAAGCATAATTAGAATTTACGGCGATCGGGTTGCACGGTGGCTGGAATGAGGAGTACATATTTCAACCTTGGGAGTAAGGTCTTCTGAGCAAACAGAAGTAGGTGGGGCACTAGGGTTGTGATCCTGGCATATAGTTGACTGTAATCCTGGTAAATTTGTATATTGAAGCTATTGTTGAGAGAAATCTTCAAAATGGGAAAACAATCTCCCCATTTTTTAAAAAAAAAACCAACACCTTATCGAGAGAAGGAGCAAAGAGAAATTGTGTAGCTGTTTGAATGTTTTGATCTCCAGTTAACAATTCTTGAGAGGAAGTTGACAATAAAGCAGGCCCAACTGCAGGTCTGTTTGTTTGTTTTTCCTGTATCACGTATTAGCTTTCTCAGTATATTTCTGTTTCCAAAGTTGTAGTTTTATTTTGTTTTTTCAGATTGTTGTCTCCTTGCAGGAGTATTTCATTTTGCATAGACCGTTTAAAGAAATAAATTGTACAAATTATTTGATGAGGTAGAGTGGGGGGAAAAAAATGAAGCCCAAAATAAAATCCCAATTTAATTGCAGCCGGATGACAACCCAGCACAATAAAGTTAACCAGCTGCTACAGATGGTGACTCTTCAGATGAATTAGATGCAGTGCCTCAAGGCCCTTTTGGCTGCCTAGCTGCCTGAAAAAAATGTTGCTGAGAAACTTGCACAATTTTTCCCAACGCTATTGGAACACCCTTCCAATTGCTTAACCCTTCGCCCTCTTATCAGTCATGCACACACCAAACTTGATCTTCTTTGCGCTTTCTGCTAACCACCTGCCTCTCATCTGTCAGCCTTTCCCAGAGTATTGGCATCTGTCAAGACTTGCTCATAATTTATATTTTTGTAAGCCTTGGGAGCCATTATAGAGCAGGTAGCATGTATGTTTGTAAAATCAATAAAATAAAAGGGATACCGTGTGTTGGGTTGAGTGTCAAAGACACTATGCAATTATCTGGGAATCAATCCCACTGGTGCAGCTGACTTCTGAGTAGGCATTATACAGTTTAAATCTTCAGATAGGCTTTTCTTTCTATAGACAAGTAAATTGAATGTGATAATCCTCACCCTGTGTGAATTTGGAAAAGTAATTTGATATATTTTAATGCTAAACCAGGATATGATAGTTATTTTAAATTAATCTGAATGTGATATTCAGTCGGTTGTCCTTTGTAAGAGATCACTCTGTCCATAATATATTAGTACAGTACTATGACTGCATCTTTGGTGCTTACATGTTTATTGTCACATTAGTTTACCATTTAAAAAACACGTACAGCACAGCACATTTTGCTCAAAACCTGATTTGTCCAGCTTGACTGCATAAAAGAGGACAAGGATGGAAGAGAGCTGGGTGTGGTAGTCGTCGCATTGTTTTCTCGGCCCTGATGGACTGGTTGCTCCTTCCGCCCTTGGAAAGGATATGCAGCCAACCTTGCATGCATGGAGTGGGGGAGAGGCAGGATCCGCCCTGTGCAACAGCAGGAATTTCATTCAGAGGCATTGAAAGTGATTCAATTATGGCTGGCAAATTAACAGCCTGTAGCCCTTTCAAGTTATCTGTCTTTTTCAAAAGCAAAGCAGGATCATTGTCCAGGCTTAAGTGAGGCTAAACTTGTCATCCATTTGATTAAGAAAGAAGAAAAATATGTGCTGATGAGTGCTGAGAACACTCCTCTAACCTCTGTTTGCAGCAATGGCTTCCCACTGTGTTAACGTCCTCAGGTTGGGAGGTGTGGAATAGCAGTAAAGCAGAGGAGGGATTTTTGGGGGGTGGGGGTTTCTGAGCAAGAGTTTTCCAAAAAGCATGATTTCCAAGGAATCAGGCACCCTGGAAAATGAACTGGGTTTTTTTTTAAGCACACGGTAGAAGAGCTCTAATAATGCTTAAAATACCATCATCTCTTTAATGATTGTTCAATCTGCCATATTTTGAGATCTCTTACATATAGAAAGAAAGAACTTTTGTCCTTCCTTTGTGCCTTATCATAG